CCAGTTATATTCCGATTTCAATGATTCATAAATGTGTGATTAATAGTGCTCCAAGACGTGAAACAGATTTTAAGAAATGCCGAGAGACGTGCCGACCTAGGTCAAATTTAGGTCGGCCCTTTTTTGCCGATCGCTTCGCGCGGAAAAATTCGCTAGTGGAAAATCGGCTTAATAGAGGGTAATAAAACGCATTTAGGGGCGGACCATTTGATTTTTGAGAGAGGGGGGGGGGTGAAAAATTCCTGCAATCCAAGGAGAAAGAAAGAAAATCATGCAGCATATAATCGAGAAAATACAATATCATGCAAAAGAGAGCGCTCAACGTTCTTCACTTCAGTATTGTGTCCACAGGCTTGCACGATTTTGCATTTTTGAGCAGGCACATTTTCTTAAAAGAACACGGGGTGAACAGTGGACAACATCACAGGGATTCTACCGCCTTTGGAGCCTATAATATATACGATAGCCAGTGGCGTTCCCTGGCAAAATTGTCGCCCCCCCCCTGAGAAAATCTGGGCTTAAGATATGTACAAGTTAATAAGTTATTTATAAATATCTAATATGTATGGTAGGAAAAGTATTTTTGGATGGTTGATTCTGTGTGCGTTTTTTGATAACATAGCTCCAAACTATTAAAGCTTCAAAGGCCCATCTACAGGATGCAAGTTGAACATACTGCATATACGATGATTTTAATGCGAAAATGCCAGTTTAGAGAGTCTAGATTTTTAAAAAATTCTGAAGAGGGTGCAACCCGATCCCCAACAAGCTATCTGTATGAACGATTGAAAAGCTACAGAGCTATATTTGGTGCAACATTGTTGTTTCGGAGGGCAGTTAAAAATCGCATTATTGAAATCTTGTTTTATTACATATTAATCAAAGCTCATTTTGTGATTTTCCCTTGTTTAAAATAAAGGACAGTAAGTGTCGGATCCTTAGGCTTAGTACAGCAAAGTTGTTGGACGAATCCATGGCTGAAAACGCAGGAAATAGCATTTCCGAGGTTCAAACTTTCAATTTTCTCGGGGGAGCATGCCCCCGAACCCCCCAAGGTTACAGCTCATTCATATACTGTACCTCCCCCATTTTCGAGTACTCTACTCTATCCTTACATGTTTTAGGTTTTGGTGCAGTTACTGCCTCGTCCCTCGTCGCTTCAGTTGGGAATAGAGATCAGTGGAAAAACAATGGGAGCGTGGTGCTTAATGGGAATGCGATAGAATCTGAAGCGACTCGGAAATCCCGCATCCAAGATGGCGTCCATTGTAATGGCTGAGATAATGCAAATAGGAGGATTTTTCAAGCTCGTTATGTATGGCGAGGAAACGTTAAAGTATATTTCCTGTTTATTGAAGAAGGGTACGAAGGTATGTTCATTTACATTTTACATATTTTACGCTCAAAAATGTATCAATTGTCGCAATTTATTAATATATGTGCATATTTAAAAATATCGATCTTATTTTGACTGTTGTAGAGTGTAGACATTGGCAAGTAGTTCTTGGTTCGACGTTTCTGGAGAAGGAACGTTATTTCCATATTTGGCCAAGATCCGAAAGAAGTTGCCAAAATATACGGAATGTTTGTTTTGCACTCTGTCAAACTAAAGACAATTACGCTGATCAAAACAATCCCTGTCGAATCTCAGGTAAAATATTGTTACATTAATTTCTATTAATCATTTTATAGCTTTTGCACCATGTGCAAGTAGCAAGGTTAAGGATGCCACCTTGAATATATTGTTAATTGTTTTCACCATTGTGTTTGCATAATTGCATCCCTTGCAAATTTACCTATAGGCAATTTTATTGTTTGCACCCCTTGCAGGAAGGATCGAGGGTCTATGCCAAGTCTATTGTTTTCAGTTTTTGAGGCTTAACACCATACTGACTTGGTTTTATTAATGCATTTTTCAAAACAAACCCTTGTGCACTTACTTAGCAATCAGCATCAGGTTTGAGTGATTCAAACAGTGATAGTACCTTAAAAAAGGCTTGCTATACATAGGGATATCCCTCTTATCAGGCAAACCCAGCTTTTGCAGAAACATCCCCCATGTTTGAACCTCTTTTAGCATACTGTTCTTATTAATAATTTCATTGGGAAAAAACATAGGTGGGTGGGGCCTAGCCAAGTATCAATTAGATCATGTATCAAGGTTGTCAGAACTCAGAAGTGGGGGGGAGGGCGGCATAAGCCCCCCCCCCCATATTCCATTTGTATGAGCAAACACACACAAAAGAACTAGAAAAGTGCAAAAGCAATTCAAATTTATTCTTGAGACCCCATCCCAATATTGATTCACTTCCGACAGCCTTGTGTATATACATGTAATAAGTTTTCAAAAATGTCAGATTTTCTAAGAAGATTTTTTCTTAATTGCAGGCTACTAAAGAAAACAAGAAATGAAACAAGATGGAATGAATATTGATTAAATTACAGATTTTGATACAAATTTAATTATGATACAAATTTATCTATTGTCTGAATATTATAAAAAGTACTCAGGCCAAATAAAAATAATAGTTGGTTTCAGGTTTCTGACCGACCTGTGAAAAATATGACCGACCATAAACATTTTATTGACATTTCCCACTAGGGATCATCTTTTCGTAAATATCAAAATATATAAATAGTCATCAGACTCATTTGCTACAAAGTATTTTGTTTGCTCATAATTTAATCATTATCTAGTCATGTTAATCCTTGATGCATTTGTTTCTCGCAAAACATGTGTAGCTCGCGGTTGATCCCGTGTGGCATGTCTGATTATGTGTGACAGTTGAGATGAAATATTTTTTTTAAATAAAATGCTTTTCCGACCTACCTACCCATATAAAACATGGCTATGAAACCTGAAACCAACTATTATTTTTATTTGGCCTCAGTAAGTACAAAATATGTACAAAATGCTCTACAATGTACAGACATATGTCACCATTTATTATAATCATATCTTCAAGGAACTTGTAAACATAATGCAGAGATCTGTAAAAAAAATGCTTTCATTGTTAACTCAGAGCAGGCACAGATTTTCTGGGGGGGGGGGTGGTGCGCACCCTCCCAGAAACGATATGCACCCCCCAAAGGCATTTGGTACCCCCGCAAATTACATATATTTTGATTTGATAGTTTCATATTTGATTATTCTTACTACTAAATTTGTAAAATACCAATATTATGGTCTCAGATCTCGCCATGCAGGCCTAGAAAAAAATAAACTTTTTCCTTGGCCTTTCCGGGCGTTGCCACCACGCTCCGGCCAAAGTAAGCAGCAGCACCCCCCCAGATATTTATCCACCCCCCCCCCCGAACGAAAATATGAAAATCCGTCTCTGACTCAGAGGGAAAGAAGTATTATTTCGTGTAGTAGTGGGATGGATTCACATGGGGGTATTGGGGGAGGGGATTCTGTGTGAAATCCTTGGCAATTATCAAACAAAATAATAAAGTATTGGGTGTTTATGACCTCATGGACAACTTTGTTTTCAAAAGAAATTAACATGGTTGGCTCCTCGTTATTGTTAGTTTAGCTACCCTCGTACCACATCAAGTTATATATGCATGAGGGAAAATAGGTTGTTTCAACTATTAATTCCACTTTTTTTTTTAAACATATTTTATTACAGACATTTTCTCCAAGAGCATAGCTCATCAAGGGAGATTATGTCGGATTATTTACAAACTTTAGGTTACTCACATCAAGACAAAGAGGATTACATAGAAAAAAAAGATTACATCAAAACAAATCGAATAATCATAGTGTGGAAGAACTTCTGGTATTCATTCTCAAGCTTTCCATGAAACATATTATTATAAGAAATTTATATGGAAGAATTTACCACACCAATGTTTTACAAACCAATGTTTTACAAAACAAGTTTCAATAAAAACAAAAAAAATAAATAAAAAAAAGTTACTCCGCCTGAAACCGTTTTGTATTTAAAATAAATAATTGGACATTTTGCATTAATTTTACATTATCTTCATGTCCAAGATTTTCCGAACCATGCAAAAGTATTTCAATTTTCCGATTCTCTGATAAATTCATCCACATAGCCATAGGATGGAGCAGCCGCGCAGGAAGTGAGAGCAATTGTTCACGTTGGGCAGCAAATCGGGAACAATATAAAAAGTAATGTTTGACAGTTTCCATTTCACCCCATCGACATACACAAAAAGGGGAATTTGCACAATTAATTCTATATAGGTGAAAATTAAGCGCACAGTGACCAAGCCTGAGCCTGGTATGGAGTATTGAGCTATATCTACTTAGTGATGCATTGTATTTTACGTTATATTTTTGTCCACAATACATATTACATAAGGTAACTTTAAAGGAAGATAGCGTCTCTATATTTCGTAAATCTGGATCAAGATCATTCCAGGCAGTTATTGCCGATGGAAAGAAAGATTTTTTAAATCGTTCAGTTCTCACAGGTATATTAGTTAAATTATCGTTAGATCTTAGAAAGTAACTGGATCTTTGGTTTACATATGGAGGCAAAAGATCACAAAGGTAGGATGGTGCAGTGCGGGTAACAGTTTTATAAAAAAAGGATAGCTTATGAATATGTCTCCTAGTTTTCAAATCCTCCCAACATAGTTCATCCAATAAACGATTTCTGTTTGTTCCCCTTATTGCACCAGTAACAATGCGAGCTGATTCGTACTGAACTGCTTCTAAAAGATTTGCTTCCTCTATACTACATCCATCCCATATTACATCTGCATATTCCATTAAGGGTCTAATTAGACTTTTATATAAGCATATCAGTGTTGACCTTTTAAGCTTATATTTAACCCTTTTTAATGCGTTCATTCTTTTACTAGCTTTTTGATGTATGCTTAGAATATGTTTTGACCAAGAGAAATTTGACGTAAATGTTAAACCTAAATGTGAATGAGAATCAACTTCGCGTAATGCAGTGCCATTTAAGTATAAGATTGGCTGAGGAAATCGGTTATGTTTCGTTGAAAATGTAATGCTTTCGCACTTAGTAGGATTCAATTCCATCAACCATTCCATACACCATTGGTTAATGCTATTGAGATCCTCGTTTAGTCTAGAATCAAAAGATGATAAATTATCAACAATTTCAAGTAAAGATGTGTCATCAGCGTAGAGAAAACAGTCAGATACAATATTGCTGGAAATATCATTTATGTATATTAGAAAAAGCAATGGCCCGAGCACTGAACCTTGTGGAACACCAGCTTCAACACTCAGCCAGCTCGAGCATTGCCCCTCAATGACAACTCTTTGTTTTCTATCAGACAAATAACTACAAAACCAGCTTAAAAGTGGGTCTTTTACTCCAAGAGATTTTAATTTATACAATAAACCTTTATGCCATACTTTATCAAACGCTTTGCTAAAATCTAAAAACACCATACGGGCTTCTTTACCCATTTCTAGAGCTTCATAGATCTTATGAACTATATACGTAAGTTGGTTCACAGTGCTGTCTCCTGGTCTAAAACCGGACTGAAAATCATTAAGGAATCTAATGTCTAATAAAAATTCATATAGTCTAGTGAATACAATTTTTTCTGGTATTTTGGATATAGACGGTAAAAGTGATATGGGACGATAGTTCTTTTTATATTGATGATCATCTTTTTTATAGACAGGAGTTACATTTGCTTTTTTCCATTCAGTTGGATACTCTCCTATTGGGAGACTTGTGTTAATTAAATATGTAAATGTTTTGGCAATTCCGCGGCTACATAATTTAATAATTCTATTGCCAATACCATCATGACCGCTAGCTTTTGTAATATCAACTTTATAGAGGAGATTAATCACTTCTTCTTCTGTTGTTTGAACTATAGACAACGTTTTATCTGTGTGATTAGGATAATAATCTAAGACTGGTAGTTCATGATTTGTGTCATCGACGTTTGCTTCACTTACAAAATATTCATTAAATAAATCCGCTTTTTTTTTGTGCATCGCAAACAATCTGAGATCCCTCCCGTATAACTGGAATTGATACACGGCAATTATTATTAAAAACTGACTTAACACATAACTCCACCATTTTTTTTGGCCCAAACGAAAATCTGATAATTGGATATTTAGTTTATCATAATATTTTATTTTTGTTTCTCGAATCAGAGTTGTCGTGTAATTCCTTTGATCTTTATATTTCTTCCACAATAAACGAGTTTTTTTCTTAGAAAATTGCTTTAAAATTCTATTTCTTTTACGAATTGCACTTCTTACAGCGCATGTCATCCATGGTTTATCGTTAGGACGTATTACAACTATTCTATTTGGAATATGCTTTTTAACTGTTGAGTAAAAATAGTCAAACCAATTTTTATAAACATCGTCAATCCGGTTATTTTCTCTTTCACAATTTTCCCAATTAAGATTTAAAAGTTCCTCATTAAGCTGTGCTATATTGATATTGGAGAAATCCCAAATGTGTCGTTTAAAGGACTTTTGCTTATAGTACGGAATTTTCATTTTTGTATAGATGTAGGAGTGATCACAATTCGATGGTGGACTACATGTACCCGAATCAGAAAAATATCGTGGACAATTAGTAATAACAACATCTAATATTGTAGATGTAGTTTCTGTTATACGGGTCGGCTCTCTGATTATTTGATACAGTGCATTGCACTGGAGCCAATGGTTAAAGTGATTACCAAAACCAGTGCTTGATAAATTATTACAATCATAGTGAGCGTTTAAGTCACCGATTATCATTATAAACGTGTGTGGGTTTTGACGTATTTTGTCTATAATACTTTGTAAGGAATCCAAAAAAATTGATACATCTTGCAAAGAGTTATTTGGCGCTCTATAACAAACTCCACATAGTAAGGTTTGTTTATGTACTTTTACTTCAACCCAAAGTAATTCTAGATTGTTATTTTCTAAATCGTTACGTCTCTTAAATGCTAATGACTGTGTAATGTATAATGCAACACCACCACCCCGTGTATTTAGTCTATCTTTCCTTACAATAGCATGAAAACCGGGTATACACAGATCATCATTCGAAATTTGGCTGTTTAGCCATGTTTCAGTGATCGCAAACAATTCAAAATTTTTTTGCAAGATAAAAGAAGAAATTTCCTCAAATTTTTCTTCATTCACTAGACTTCTGGCATTGATATGACCAATGTTAAGACATGTCATCATTGGACCAGGATTTAGTTCAACATCACCTGCCATTATTAACCGAACCATTAAGTAGTTAGAAATCAGAATGTAAATGTTGAGTCCAGAAGTAGTTATCAATACTATTGATATGCTGAATCTAGCACGGTTAAATTTTCTGTTATAAGATGTTCCGATTGCTGCTCTGTGAACCGTTAGACTAAATGCCATAGACACGAACACTTTGTACCCTGCACGGCTGCTGCAAAACATTTTACAATAAATCTTGAACTTACACAAGGAAATAAACATAAACGAAAACTTAAGAACATAACAATCAGACATTCTTCCACTAAAAATATACGATCAGTGATAATAAGTATTATAAATGCTAGAAAAAAGTTGAGCTTCATGATTAATTTGAATTGGGTTTTAGTGGTTAGGTATGGCTATTCAATATAACAATAAAGTAAATTGTATTTATGAATAACTTTCTAAAGCAGCTTCATAATGAGTAATGACAAATAAGCATTAAATTCTAAAGAGTCTCTTAATAGTATAATAATTAGTTGTTATGGCAAATCACATTAATCATTTAATTCGCCGATGAGATTTGCATATTCAATCAGCACATCTCATGCAAAGCTCTCCTATATATATATATTCAAAAAAACAAAAACGTTCGGATTTTAGTTAAATTATGTTTTACAAAGTCTGAAATTCTTCATTGCTTATTATCCGTTCCATCAGTACGCAATCCTCAACAATTCACAGCAACAATTCACAACGTTAACAGTATAAAATTATTCTTAGACCTAGTTCTAGACGAATAGTCCATGCATAAAGCTGACACTATTGTCAGTAAGATGGATCGGTTAGGTTAAACTTCAAGAAATCATTGAATTGACAAATTCGAGTAATTTTATCATCCAAGTTGCGTACTAAAATCTTTCCATCTGCAGACCAAGCTGATTTAATAAAACTTTTCTGATCACGGGCATAATTAAGCAATTCAATATTGAACTTAGTTAAATCTTCGTTAATATAGTATTGTGTACCTTTCAAAAGTTTGCGTTGCCTACAGATTTCCGCCTTTGCACCATACGATTTAAACTTTACAATTACAGTTCTTGATCTCCCGCTAAGCGCTTTCGGACCAAGACGATGTGCACGATCGATATCCCTCTCGTCCACATTAACGTTCAACTTTTCTTTACAGAGCTTAATTACTTCTCCAACGCAATTCTCGCCATCGTTTTCATTCAGACCAACGATTCTTAAATTATACTTTCGGGAATATTGCTCGTTTTCGTTTGCTTGAACACGGACATTTGTTAGTTCTGCTTCCAATGCTTCTATCTTTTCCAAAAGAGGTTTTGTGGCTTGTTGGACAGATTCTTCAACGAGAGTAGACACTGCTTTGGATAAGATTTCTTTAAATTCACTCGACCGAAAAAAGTCGTTTAGTTCACTTCGCATTGTTTCCCTCATGTCGGTTCGAAGCTCGGCTGACTGAGAAGCTGTTGCTTGTCTAGTTTCAGGCATATCAATTTACTTGTTACTCACTGTAAATTATTAACAATTAGCCTTCTTGACCACAAGAAGTTATCACATATATGATAGAAATGTGATAAATAACGGAGCTCAACAAAACACGTCTGCCCTTGGTGAGTACCACGATTTATTGTACCCTTCTACATAAAAACGTTCTGAAACTCCTCTCGCACTTTCTTAGCATTTTGCGAAGATTTGGTGCCAGCTTGTTTCTGAGAGGCAGAAAGTTGGTAATTTAATGACTAATCTGCATAGTCATATCAAGTCATCGAACTATTGCGCTATATTCAAATCCAAACTTTATACTTATTATCTTAATAAACTAAACTCGGACTTTGATGTTGAGCGTCCAAGGACATGGAAAACTATTTGCATGAAATGCCGCTCGATCAATATCACCTGCTACTTGTAGCTGTTCTGGTGTTAATTAGCGCGGTTATTGGGTTTGACTTCCACTACCATCATCATTACCTCGCGCTGGCCTGGTTTGCATGTAAGTGATTAGTGGTTCCAACTATAGTGGTGGTGGTGGTAGAGAATGTGAATATTTTCCGCGTTTTACCTTCAACACAACCATGAACCTCAGCTCTCATGGATATGTAGGATTCCCAAGTCTTTGGTTGGATTCTGATGAATCTTGCAACAAGATCGGGTGAAACTTTTTGACGCACAACACTATCTCTGTCAGTGTTGCCTGAAAATACCTGTTTTCAAAGAGATACATAATTTTAGCCATAAAATACCGGTTTATATTATATAAAACCCATCACAAACATTCTCCCGAAATTGTTTGAATGCAAATGAAAAAATGAACATGAACTTGAGTGTGATAATATCGATCCGCGCCGTTCCAGGCGTAAGCCTGTGAAGAGGGTACTAATTCCGCCCGGCTATTCACTCCCAGGGAAAGAAAGGATTAGCGAAGTCGCACATTATATATTTTATACTGTATTATTATTATATATAATTTATAATATGTGGCAAAGTTTAGAGTTCATCAATAATCGCGGGCGCATGGGTTACCGTGCGTGGGTGGTCATCCTAACTGATTTCAAAATTGGTCAAATTTAAAATTTGCGTTATAACGACTGCATGACAACAGCGAAATTGCAAACATTTCTTGGATATATATTTCAATATTGCAAGATATTGTAAATTTCAAAAGCTTTTTGAGAAGAGAGGCAAAATAATTGCTACAACAAGGAAGGCAAAGGTATAAGTTTGTTTTAAATATTGATGTATTGTTTGCTTTATAATTGCTATAAAAGCGATCGTTGCGTATAATGAAAAAAGACTGCATATTGTTTTACTGTATCTTTATTCATTACTCTTTTTTATTATATTGCATGCAAGAGTTTGAAATCATTTTATTTCAAACTCAAAGTTTATCGATAAAGGCAGCTTAGTTTTATAAAGAACATTTTAAAACGTTTTGCGAAGGGCTTGTGGTTGAATTGTACATTAAATTGAAGCTAATATTATGTATAATAACATACCTAACAGTACATACCTAAGTTACAGTCCCTTCGGCGCATGCGCTGGCTTTGTTTACGTTTTTTGTTTTGATCTGCATTAATTATATAAGATGAAGTATATGACGAGTTCAAAGTAACATTCCACATAATTTGTGACCGAGGAGTGCAATGTTTGACAACACTTCGCTGCATTTCTTGTACATTTCTACACTGGAAATTTTTGTACACAATAACACAATCTTATACTGTAACAGTTTAACTGTAAACATCGTGAACAAAGAGGTCGCTTTGAACCTTGTGTGACTTGCTATATCAACAGCTGGGGCGGCGAACCGAAATCCCGATGGTGTGAGTTCGAATAATTTGTATTTACCTTTGGAGTTTGTGTCTCATCGTGAAAATAGTTAATGCGGTATCAAATATCAATCCCTCGAAACATGTTGCGAGAGTTGTTGTTGTCATTATAACAGAAGCGCTTGCATGGAGAAAGCTTTTAGCTTGGCGAAATTCGAAACAAGTGTTATTGAGAATGTGGCTTGCCAGTTCCTGTCTTCGTGGCAAAGCCAAGCGCGAAATTTTTGACCGTGCAAAAAGCTGGATAAACAGCTTTTGTTCAAGCTCGTACGCGCTATGGAGATGATTTCGGATGCTGTTTAATACAAACAACAGAAGAGTTCAATAGATTGACAGTGACGAGAGTACGAGTGAAATTTGATCCATCGCCCGATTCGTTCGCTTTTAAAACTACGAAAATTTTATTCGAGACGAGAATGGTTTCATTTATTGATCATATAAGTTTTGCCTGGACTGGAGATTTTGATTCATTGAAGTTGTTAATCGCTGATGATCTAAAACTAGACGGCACTTGGGAACATCCCGGCGGCGACAAAAAGGTGTTTAAGTTTAATGACAGTTCGATCTCGTGGAGAAAAGGCAAAGGTCTCTTGCAGATTGAAGGCGACGAAATGGGTAAAGTGTATCAACATTTATGTAAAAAGATTTTGAATAGTCTACATTCAAGTGTTAAAAATGTAGGTAGTTCGGACATGTCATGCCAGACGAATGTAGATACCCCGCGGCAGTCGTCTTGTCCATGTGCTGATGTTGTTTTCGACTTTGAGGAACTAAAATCGGGTCAAGAAATCAACAGAGAAATTATACAAACTTTGTCTCAAACTGTTGAACAAATAGTTGAGTTTATGGGCCAGAGTAAAGGTGAAAAATCAGTTGAAAATGGGGGAAAGTTAGT